GGATGGATGGATGGGCAGATGGATGGATGGGCAGATGGATGGATGGACGGATGGATGGATGTGTCTAAGATAAATGGAGGGACGTGATGGATGCATTGGATAGATGAGATGAATTGATGGACATTAAAATAACAATCAAATACAAAGTGATGCATAGATAATACACTAATAAGCCGAGTGTCTTTTAAAACACCTATTTCCATACCAATAATAAAATCATTGTCATACACCCCAGTTTTTACAGAAAAATTGAAATCGTCAATCAAAAAKCAGACTGACTTCCAACCAAGACTAAGAAAAGACAAGAAAGTAAAGACCGATGATATCTTTACAAGTGTGACAATCCAACGTGGTCCAAAACACCAGTCCCAAGCAGACGAGAGCCATGGAAGCCGGAGCGCTAGCGAGGACCAATTTCAAGGTACACAGAGTAGCACTTTCTTACAAAAGAGTTCAGAAATTTTCATATTTCCGCAGAAAGACTTGTCATCAACAGCTGTCATGAACAATGGCAACCCCAAAAAAATTCTTACTGTTGATAAACCAGGAATTGGAAAAACACTCTTCTGTCAAAAACTTGTCAGAGATTGGGCCCACGACCGATTGTTCCAGAGAGACGAATACCTCTCTGCACCGGATTTCCAGTTTTGCTACCTACTGACATTCCGTCAGTTAAGTCTCCTAGGAGACGAGACACTAAGTTTGCAGGAGATTTTGAACCGTTCGTCAACATTAGACGAGCAGTCAGTCATCGACGAAGCCATGTTTCACGACATAATGCAACACCCAGAGAAACTACTCCTAATCATCGATGGGTACGATGAGTACAAACATCGCGATGAAATCACTGGAGACTTCGAAACGAAATTCCCTAACGACCCTCATCAAAAAATGCCTGTTGCTGCCATCGTTGCCAAGCTCTTGAAAGGCAAGATGTTGCGAGAATGCGTTGTCATGGTGACTTCGCGACCTGGACAAGCGGAGAGACTCCTGGAAGAGAACGATTTTGAGGCCAAAGTTGAAATCTTAGGATACTCTTCTCAACAGGTTGTTGAGTACGTCAAGAAGTTTTTCAAGGGACATGATGGTGTTATGAATGCTGTACTTGAACACATCAAGACAAATGGAATCTTGGTAGGTTTTGCTCATATTCCTGTCGTCTGTTTCCTCATGTGTTGTCTCTTGGAGTGGCACATGATTGGCTCTAACACCCGCCATAATCTGCCCATCACTTTGACCGATCTTTATCACCAAGTGACCATGATGTTCATCAAGAAACACCACACTCGCCTCAAGTACTCCAGAAGCAACGAAAGTGATGCCAAAGAGATACTGGATAAACTGGCTGAGCTTGCCGTTAGCTTGTCTCAGGAAGAAAGATTCATCTTCGACGAGGATGAYTTGAGGAAGATGGACTTAAGCGACGAGGAAATAACTAACTTGAAAGAGAGTGGTTTACTTGACTGTTGTCCCGGTGTTAGGAGTTCTCCATTTGATGACGTTCCGCTAGAGTATTCCTTCACTCATCTCACGATACAAGAGTTCCTCGTAGCTCATTGTTTGGTCAAGAGGAAAGAGATCCCAGAAAAAGGCGGGAAAACTAGCGACGTCACGTTCCAGTTTATGGCTGGCTTGCTGTCTAAGGAAAAAGACGAACTGCTGATGGCAAAAGTTTTGGAGTGTGTGAAGCCGCTAAATGATATGTATGACCCCAAACGAGTGCTTATTTTGAAATGCTTACACGAATATAGAGACGTCGAACTAGCTAAACACACCATCTGTGATATATTTGATAAGTATTGTAATTCTCGAGGGATATGTGTATTTTATGAATTAACTGACATAGACTGTGTTTCAGTCTCGTTTTTGCTCGATGTCATCAGCATATTGAGCGAAGAACGAGCTAGCAATCCACCAACGTCGCCTACTGAAGATCTGAAAGACTCATTCACGCTTACCGCGTTTGGCCTTATCAACTCAAATCTAACATCCTCTGGTGTGAAACAACTCTGTAGTTCGTTCTCTTCTCAGCGCTCTATGTTTAGACTACAATTCTGTAACTGTGAGCTAAACGACGAATGTGTCAAGATAGTTTGTGAGATGTTACCGACTTCCAGAATAACTGGACTTTACCTGCCTTCCAACCATATCACCGACGAAGGCGTTCAACACATTTCTTCAGTAATCCGACAAAATAACGGATTTCCAGAGTATTTGAATCTTGCCAATAACAAGATAACTGAGAAATGCCAGGATGATCTTACAAGTCTTGTAAAACAGTACAGACCTGATGCAGAAATCATTCTTTACGTGGGGTCACGAAAAAGACGCTAGTTGACCCTCTTTCTTAATAAATCAATAAGTGAACTTTGGTTAGAGAGAGTCTAACCGTATCTTAACGACTCTGCGGAATGGACGGAACCGCTGTTATCTTGCCCACAGCGTAGGTCTATTATCATGTTTTAGAGCAACTTAGGCAGCAGCTTCTACTCAGATATTTTGAATACGACCTCCCGTATACAATAACAAATCCAGCCAACCGGGAGGTCCCCTTTATTCCAGGCACCCAGCCAATGAAGGCCTGGGAGCATTGAAAGTGAAGAAAATGGGCGTAATTGGGCTGGGGGGATGGGGGTGGGGAATGCTTAGATTTGAAAACCATCCATTAGCCTATAGCAAGAGAAAATGAACTAAGAGAAGGAATCCCCGTGTTCCATCATGTGCACACTTTGATGCTATTTTTAGAATCATTGATGCTATTTTTAACTCGTTACCATGCCCGCGCGATAATCATGCTTCCTTTAATGCCTCGTCTTAGGACACGAAAAGCGACAAAAACACAGGATTTTGTTTACTGCAAGACTAGAACCCGCCTACCCTCAAGAAATCAACCAATCAGGTTCTTCGCTCAAAATATCTCCAAGCTAAAAATAGCATCAAACTGTGCACATGATGGTTACAAGGCTATATAGGTAGGATTCCTTCTCTTAGTTCWTATTCTCTTGCCTATAGTATATATATTACTAAACTGAAGGTAAATTTGATTTACGAAGCGACGCCGGCGCTGCTTGGCACGGATAGCACAACGGTAAATACTCCGAGCGTACAGCCGATCCAAACCAGAAAAAAACGTTGGTTGGAAAAGTTTGCTTTTAAGATAAGTGAGCCCTATTTAGAATCTATTTAGAAACGAACATATAATTAGTGAACACGATTTAGTATTTACGAATTAGTGAAACAAACACACCGATATAAAACCCAAGCCGTTTGTCCTAGCGC